GCATTAGATTCAAGAAAAGGTCGTCAGGAGCCTTGAAGTCCGACTTCAAAGTCTTATCCAATGCTCCAGTGTTTCTGTAGAGAAACTCTAGGCATATTGTCTTAAATTCAGATCTAACTGGGAGTTGCCCAAAATGTCTTCATGATGAAAAAAACAAAACCCAAACCAAGTATCGTCTGATACTTAACGCTTAATCCCCTATAATCCGTGCAGTTAAAGTCTAGTCTTTTGTCTTGGTCTTTAAAGTTCTTGCTAATCTTAGACGTAATTACCCCTACCCCCACCGGTGTGTTAACATCATCTTTCCTGTATTGCGAATAGCTAATGACCATTTTTCTCTGTTGCAGGTGAATGCACAATATTTGCAGCTGTTCGTGATTTAATGGCTAATCTTACACTGCCCCCTGGTGGGCGTCCATAGATACTATTGTTTTTAAACCAGGAAGGCTGACAAAAGAGACAAAACAACAAAAAAAAAAAATCTGAATTCAGCCTTCAGTTTAAAAAAGCAAAAGGACTTTTTTGACTTTAAGAGCTGAATATTCTAAAGTGGCAAAAATTTTCAGGGTGCACTTCTTTCATCAAAAAGACCATCAATCTTTTGTATAGTGAACTTGTATAGTGTGTTTAAATGGGACACATTTCAAATTAGGTAATACGTCAGTGTCCGCTTGTCAGTAATAGATTTAATATTCTGTTTTATACTATAAAATTATGGAAATGCCAAATTTGTTTATTTAATTGTTTCCTTATGTTTTGGGTGTAATAGTCCTTTTTTGGGTTTTGTTTTTTAAGGCAGGTCTGTCATTTTTGAATACTGTAAAACTGTGATAAACTTTATATTGAAGCTGTATTTTAATATGACCACTTTGAATCCTTACATGAAAATGTTCTGGGAGTTGTTATAAACACATCCCAAAGAAGCAATATTTAATAAAACTAGGTTAAAAAAGTGACCCCTCACTTGTGTGTATATCAGCTCTGTAGACTTCTCAGGGCCTCCCTTCATCTTTAACCTGGTGGGGCCAGTAATTAATTTCTAATAATACATGTCTGAAATTTGACCAAAATATCTTTGTTTCAAGGTTAATTTATTTTCCTTAAACATTCCTAATTTGACTGGTGGTTAACATTTAGGACCTTGGTTGTCTTTCAGTGTAGGATTTGGGTAAAAAAGAAAGAACCCAATCTTTGAGAACAAACAGTGAGTAGTTCATATTGATCAAGGATCCCAAATACTGCAGTCATTCTCTGTTGAGGATGTGGGAACTTTTCTGTTAGGCAAATTTAGTTTACAGGATACTTCTGCATATAGCATTAATTAGGAAACCAAGAACTTGAATGCTCTACCCTTGCATGAAATTTCTGTGACGTTTCTTTATCTTGATTAACTTCTCCCCCTTGCCTTCCCCACCAGAATTGGGGTGGTTCTAAACAATCCCAATTTAGTTTATTGTCAACAAAATGATGAAATGTTTTACCTGGAAGAAGCCTGGTGCAGTGCACTCACTTGGAAGAATCCAAGACCCAGGGTCTGTCCAGGGTCAAATGGAGTTTCTGTTACACATCTCAGCAGAGTTTCTGTTCGGAGCACTGTGCTGTCTCTCCCAGTCCGTCGGGAACTTTTTTAAGCTTCAAAGAACGTGATCCAAAGCAAAGGTCTTCTGGAGACTTGATGTTATTTGGGAAAGTTTTTTAAATGGTAATACCATGCTGAGCTATCTGATCACTGTTATACTTGTTCTCCATGAAATTTTAGATGCTTTATCTAATTCTACTTTAAGATGATTTAATTGAGCTTCTGTGACTATCAACTGCCAAATTCTAGTTTCAAGCATCTCATTGCAGTTAATATCTGTTCTCAACTTTGCTTGATTCTCCATTCATTTCTGGTCGGAACTGAGGCCTTCTTTGCCTTTCTTCTATGTCTTATTTCTGCCTTCATCTCCTGCTTCTCACCCAACTCTGCCACTATGCAGAAGCAGGTGACTAAACTTTTATCCTTCCCTTAACTTACCTTTTATCCTTCTGTTTTGGGTTCACCTTACAATGGTAATCACATCAGTTTGGCAGTCTGAGATGTCTTTTATCAAGGGTCAGCCCTTTCCTATTTGGAGCTGAATCCTTTCTTTCATGTAGAAATCTACATGTATATACAAGAAATGTATTTTTATCGGCAGGATAATATTGTCTCAAATAATTTTATTAATAGAGTTAAATTTTCAGGCATTTTCCCTTTTAATTGTGGTTTTGAAATATTAATTGCATTTTTAAACATGATACAGTCAGTGGATACTTTGTTCCTTATTATAAGTCATCTCTGAATGCATTGTGCAAATCAAAAGATAGAATTCAGTGAACAGAATTTGCTTTTGATGCTTATGAAGAGAAAACCCATGGATGTGAATTTTGATATCACGCTTGATACTTGGAATTGATGCATACTTTATTACAGCTTGAAAACACTGAGCATTTGAATCTTAGATTTCATCACAAACTATGTCTTTTGCCTCTTCTGTTAACCGAGTTCAATCGAAGGGACTGTATGCCCATAGGGATTTTGCCTAATAGGTGGTTTGGGTCTGTAGTGTATTTCAATGTGACTTTAGAAATTTCAGTAATAAATAAAATTCATACAAGTTTCAGAGAACTACCAACTCTCTAGTTAATTTTCATGAAGATGTTTTGGGTAGTAGTCTGGTTTATTATTAGCTTAACCTTGAAGAAATTGGTCCTGATTTGCCACATTCTTTTTTCCATCTGCTGAAATGAGGACTCCGCGCTTCCAATGCAGGGAGCCGCGGGTTCAATCCCTGGTCGGGGAACTAAGATCCCACGTGCCGCGGCACGGCCAAAAGATAAAAAAAACAGAATGTATTAGAAGTATTTTCAGAATTAGAGAGGAAGAAAGCGAAAACTTTAACAGAACATATCAAGTTATTAATAACAGGAGCGCTGAACTTTGTTTGAAAACTAACACTGAGTGAGCTAAGTGCAAGCATAAACTAAAATATACATGATTTTAAATTTAAACACCACTAATAACTTTACTATGTTGTAGTTAACACAGTAACCTGTTTAGCGACGAGATACTAAATAGTCTGTTAGTCATTTTGGGGATCATGGTTAATTTGATAACTTCAAGAAATATAATTTTGCTACTCTAAATCTGGGTCCAATTTCAACATAAAAAAAGATATTCCTGGGGCTTCCCTGGTGGCGCAGTGGTTGAGAGTCCGCCTGCCGGTGCAGGGGACGCGGGTTCGTGCCCCGGTCCTGGGAGATGCCACATGCCGCGGAGCGGCTGGGCCCGTGAGCCATGGCCGCTGGGCCTGCGCGTCCGGAGCCTGTGCTCCACAGCGGGAGAGGCCGCGACAGTGAGAGGCCCGCGTACAGCAAAAAAAAAAAAGAAGAAAAAAAAAAAGATATTCCTTTCTTTCATGGTTTCTTCCTCAGAAGAAATACCTATTACATTTTACTTTAATCCAGTTTACTATCATCCAAGTGTTCCTGATATAAAATCAATACACAGAAAATGATAAGAGAATTTATACTCAGGGAACTTAAGGGACAGAAAGGAAAGATGTTAATGTATATTTCATTGTTCCCTGTGGAATTTCCTTTTTCATGTGGTTTAATGGGAATGGACAGTTTGTCTAAGGGAATGATTTGAAATTTACTTGGGATGGATTTACTATCGAGGTTTTTAAGAAAAAATTAGCAGAGGCCAGCCAGCATTGTGCTGCAGAATTCCAGGAGGCTATGATCTGCTCACGGTTTTCTATAAATTGCCTCCATTTCCAGGTGGCCAGTGATTTGTTAAAATACTTTGCCCAGGAATGACTGATTGATGAAAGGGCACGTTTAGGTCAATATAAAATAATAGCTAATATTTACTGAGAGCTTACTATTGCCCGGCACTAAGTATTTCAGACTGTATTTAATTGTCACAACAACCCAGCAGGGTAGGCCTCCTTTTACCGTGAGTAAACTGAGGCCTGGACAAATGAAGTAATTTGCTGAGATCAAATTAAGATTGCTTAAGATCAAACAGCTAAGAAGCAGCATTTTGAGTCCAAAGCTGACACTCCTGAACACTGCCACTTTGCTGTGAAACAAAGTCAGGGGAAGGCTTCAATGTTTAGGCTCTTCCCTCAGGGCCTTTTGACTACACACAATTTTAAAATGTTTTCCAAGCTCAAGCAGCTCACTAAAAGCAACTAAAATTGAGATGACCTCTCGTCATTCGGAGTTGACAAGCCATTGCCTTCTGACCCTCATGGCACTTATTTGGAACTTAGATTACCTTATGCAAGGAGCTCTATCATATAACCAAGAATACTAAGTCACCTAAGCTCGATGCTTCAAGACCATAGTGGAAGAAGTCCTCATCCCACTCGGGGCGATGCAGCCCTCCAGAATCCGGGTGATGTGTCGTCCCGTTTTGCCTCTGCTAGGTAGCCCAACGGCGGATGTCTCTGAGCTTTGTGTCACCTTGGCACACCGCAGGCGCTTAACAGGTGCGCGGTGCAGACAGCCAACGGTCAAATTTCACTAATGTCCAGATAGGCTACAGCCAACCTGCGGGCTTAGGATCCAGTTAAATAAACTTTCTAGAATTGTATAACACAAGGAACGTAAGTAATTCAATAACTGTCTTGAGCACCGTCTTACACCTCTACAATAAAAAAAAAAAAAGAACAGGAGCACAGGCTTCAGGAGAGGGAGCCCAATCGTTGCCTGGCGAGGTCTCAGTTTGGGGGCACAGAGTAGAGGCTTTCTGGGCGAGCACCAAAGTACGTAACGCGTCGGTCGCCATCTAAGACGGGGGTGGGGCCGACGTGCCCCGGAAACTAGAACTCCCTGCCGCCTGGCGGTTGGGGGAATCCGGGGCGCCTTCGGGCGGGGCCGCGCCCAGAGCGCCGCCGTCGCCTCGGGCGCGCCCAGACTTCCGCGCCTGCGCACGACCGTCCGCCCCGCCCCTCGCTCCGTGGCCCCGCGGGCTCGTTCCCGGCATGGTGCTCTCTGAGCTGGCTGCGCGCCTCAACTGCGCCGAGTACAAGAACTGGGTGAAGGCGGGCCACTGCCTGCTACTGCTCCGCGGCTGCTTGCAGGGCTTCGTCGGCCGCGAGGTGCTCGCCTTCCACCGCAGCCTGCTAGCCGCCGCCCCCGGCCTGGGCCCCCTCGCCACCTGCCGCAGCGGCTCGCGGTGCAGCCCGCGCGCCCGCCAGGTGAGCACCCGGCCCGGGGTCTTGACCGTCGCCCCTCACCCCGTCCGCGGGCGCAGTGCCTCGTGCCCTCCCCGGAGCCGGGCCGACCGCCGTGCCTGGGGTTCAGATGCCCAGACGCCGCCCCTCCCTCCCGGGCCCCTCCTCACCGCCGCCCCCTGTAGTTTCAGCCTCAGTGTCAGGTGTGCGCAGAGTGGAAACGGGAGATTTTGAAACATCACACCAGCAGAAATGGAGACGTTCACTGGGGAAACTGCCGGCCGGTCCGCTGGCCGGTCGACGCCTGGGAGGTGGCCAAGGTAAGCACCTGCGGTCGGGAGGGTAGGAGGAGTTGGCCCACCAGGTAGGAGTTACCTGGAGCCCGGGGCGTCTGTTGGGTCTGTGTGGGAGCTGGGCCCCCGTAAACAGATGCAGAGAGAGATTGGGCTTTTGATCAAGGGTGTAGTGTCTAGGCGGCTCAGGGCTGTTATATCGGACCCAACGCAGCTTAGTGAAGTAGAAGATTTCAACAAGAGACGCTGGGGCAAGATGTAGAGTGGGCATCATGGGTACAGGCACAGAGGGAGAAGCAGGCAAGGCCTTTTGAGGGTAGGCTCCCTGCGTAGCTCACTTTGTCTGTAAGGTGCCATGAGGATGGCAGAATAAGCCAAGGGAAGTTGGGGTTAAGATAGAAAGGACCTTAAGTGCCTAGCTAAGGAGTAAAACTTTGGGGAGGTAGGGGTGGGGTAGGCAGCCAGATAAAAGGGGACTGTTCGGCCCGTTTTCAGATCTTGGTGATGTGACTTACTAGCTGGGCTGATTGAAGAATTTTTTTTGATTTTTTGATATTTGCCAGAAGCCCAGTAGGAGGGGGGGAGGGGGAGTCGAAGTAGCCTCCTAACACAAATTCACCTCTGGCGTCAGTCTACATGCTAGTTACCAGCAGGCACAGGCTTGGTGCCTGGGAAGCAGGGATCAGAATCTCCGCCCAGCTGCTGTGGTGCACCACTGGGCCAGCCTCTGTTCCCTAACCTCAAAAATGAGGAAGTTGGACTATATCGGTGGCCCCCAGACTTTTGGCTATCGTGGTCCAGTAAACCCATCATACCCTCTCCCCCGTTGGTTTGTTGCTGCCATAGAATTGCCAACTTCTGCTTTTACTTAGAAAAGAAGAAAACTTAAAACTCTACCCTTTGCTATGACCGTCCCTCACCTGTTTGCTTTCTGTCACTGCTTTCATACCCTCAGAATCCTCTTGAAGCCCATGCCACCTGTTTCTGCCGCTCTTTCCCTTCTTCATTGCTGTCACCTGCAGACCTAGTCCAACCACATGTATATATTCTCTCCCCAAGCTGGACTCCCCTGTCAAACATCCTGTGATCCTCTCGACCTCAGCCTCCCACTTGCACGCTCACACCCGGACTGTGTCAGCACAGGGAGCTGCGGTGTCCAACATCCTGCTTGCCCTCGGTGTACTTATTCAACCCGCCCCCACCTCTGCCCCACCCCTCGTCCCTCTCCAAAGTCCACAGCTCTCCCAATCCCCAGCAGCCTCTGCCCTCCCAGCTTCCTTTGCTTCCTCAGCCAGCCCAGATTCCACAGTCCATCCTTCTGTTCAGTCCCTTGCAGTTGTCTCGGTCTTCTTCCTCCTTTCTCTGCACTTGCCAGGCCCAGCTCCAGCCCTGATGACACCACACCTGCTGCTCTGGGGAAGAATCTTTCGAGGGATCTTTCGCTTTCAGTTCTTGATCACGAGCCCAGCAGCCTGGCCCTGTCTCTCCGTGGGTTCCTGTTCCCGGAGACAACTGTTGCTGCCTCTCCTTCGCTGAGCTCCCACTCCTCTTCCCCCACCTGCAATCCCAGCTGCTAACCTTGCTCTCGCTTTCTTATCTTTTTACCAGACCTACCAACCTACCTCAATGTGCACCATCTTCTTCCTTCTGCTACAAAGGAGGAAGGGCGTTTCTCCTCTTACCGCCCTGTCCCTCCACTTGAGTGTTGGACCTTATGCCCTCCCACCTGCCCAAGGACTTGGAGTCTCCACTCTTGCAACCTCCCAGTTTATTCCCATCACCATACAAATAGCCTTAGTACTGCCTTGGTTTATTCAATTTTTTTAAAGAAAGAGATTTCAGTATAGAGTTAATATATGACTTAGCAGTGCCACTCCTAGGTACATACCTGATGAAGTGGAAACATGTGTCCCCACAAAAACCTGTGCACGAATGTTCATAGCCGTACTCTTCACAATAGCCAAGAGGTGGAAACAACACACATGTCCATCAGCTGACGAGTGGATAACCAAAATGTGGTTTATCCATACAATGGGATATTATTTAGCCATAAAAAGGAATGAAGTACTGATACATGCTACAGTATTGCATGAACCTTGAAAACATTATGCTAAGTGAAAGAAGCCAGTCATATATTGTATGATTCCATTTATATGAAATGTCTAGAATAGCCAAATCTATAGAGGCAGAAAGTAGATTAGTAGTTGCCAGGGCCTGAAGGAGAGAGGGGGCAATAGCTAATGGGTAGAGGGTTTCTTTTTGGGGTGATGAAAATGTCCTAAAATTGTGGTGATAGTTGTGCAACTCTGTGAATATACTGAAAACCACTAAACTGTAAATGCTTAATTTTTTTTATTGAGGTGTAATTGATTGTAACGTTATATTAATTTCAGGTATACAACATAAGGATTCGATATTTAATACTTTGTGAAATGATCACCACAGTAAGTCTAGTTAATGTCCACTACCACGTGTGGTTGCAAATTTTGTTTTCTTGTGATGAGAACTTTCAAGATCTGCTCTCTTAGCAACTTTCAAATACTGCAGTACAGTATTATTACCTATAGTCACCATGCTGTGGATTACATCCCCAGGACTTATTTATTTTATAACTGGAAGTTGGTACCTTTTGACCCCCTTCACCTATTTTGCTCACTCCCCACCCCCCACCTCTGGCAACCACCAGTCTGTTCTCTGCATCTGCGAGCTGGGGTTTTTGTTTTAGGTTCCACGAATAAGTGAGATCATATGGTATTTGTCTTTCTCTGTCTGACTTACTTCACTTAGCATAATGCCCTCAAGATCCATCCATGTCATCACAAAGAACTGTGTACTTTATTTATTTATTTATTTTAGCCGTATTATTACATTTTATTCATTGAAAATGAATAATTACCAATGAATCCTTTCTAGATTTTCTAGTTTCCCAAAGTTCCCTGTATTCACATTCTTTTTTTTTCACACACACACACACACACACACTGTGTTTTATTTTTACAAGAGATAAATAAACTGACATCGAGCATTGTAAATGGATGACCACAACAAAAGCAACAACGACTGCAATTACCGAACACGAAACACACTCATACTATGTCATGATATTGGCGTTCAGTCCAGTAATCCTCCACGGTAACAGCTCCTTTACTTTGCAGTGAAAATTGATTTGTATATTTTTTGCCTCTGAGTCCTTGTGGGATTTTTTTTTTTTAATTCACACAGAAAGTCACAAAAATTATAATCATCCTCATCAGTTCACTCAGTCCCATGTAATTAATTTTTTTTTTCATCTTGATCTTTTGTTAGCACTTTTGTGAATTCATCAGTTTTCCATTAGAGTTCTGGAAATGCTTATTCATTCAGTTCAGCAGTATAGTCAGTTACCAGAAACCTGTGCTTGTCAGAGTCTTTTCCATGAAGAACTGTGTACTTTAAATGGGTGAATTATATGGTATGTGAATTACATCTTAATAAAGCTTTTTTAAAAAAAGAATTGAGTGAATACTTGGAAAATAAAATTTGAAAAGAAAGAAAAACTTCCTTCATCCATTCCGTCCAGCTGTCTCCCCATTTCTCTAACTGCCTCCCACATACATACCCAGTAGAACTTCTCAAAAAGTGCTTTATGCCTAATTCTCTTTTCAGGGTTCATGCAGGTCCCGTTGACTCTTCAACCCACTCCCCTCTGCCTTCTGCCCCGCCACTCCACTGCATGTCTTGTCAGGGGCACACGTGACCTTCCGTTCTCTGGCCTCGCCCTTCCTACCTCTCAGCTATTCGGCGCTGCCGCACTGCAGGCCACTCTTCTTGAAACAGCCCTGGCTTTGTGACATCCTCCCCTCCTGGGTTTCCTCCTGTCTCCCCGGCTCCTTCTGAGTGTCGGTTGGCCTTCCTCGGGCCTTTTCTGTCCCTCCCCATCCCGCCTTCTCCCCTGGTGATACTGCCCAGGCCCGTGGAGTGAAATATTAAATACTACGTTTCTGCTGACGGCTCCCAGATTGGTACCCCTAGCAATGCGCTGTTCTGCGCTCCGGGGGCCCATACCCAGCTGCTACTTGATGCCTCCACTTCACCACCTCCTGGGTACTTCGTCTTTTCTTCTCAAGCAGGACTCTTCATCTCTCCCCGCCAGCCTGCGCCCATGCCCCACCACCAACTACCTACAGTTATTCTTGCTTCATCTCTTTCCCCCCACCACCCCTCTTATTTGTAACGTGCAGATTATCTTTGGAATCATCCTCGCCATCTCTGCATCACAGCTCTCGCCCCCTCTCCTGCCAGCCTCCCACCTGGCCGCCTCTGCTGCTCTGCTCACCCCTGGTTGGTCCTTCACACAGCAGGATGTGTGGTCTTCATGTGGGAATCAGATCGCTTTCTTCCTTTGCCCAAAACCCTTGGATGGCTTCCCGATGTCCTTAGAGTAAACTCCAAACTCCTTGTCAAGTCCAGTAAGGCCCAGCACGTCTGGCCCCTGTTTATTTCTCCAACCTTGTCTCCTACTACTCAGTGAAGAGACAGGAGGGGGTAGTGAGAGGCAATAGCGTGTGTTTCTCACCCTGTGCTTGTCACATACGGAACCTGGCGGTAGGCGATACCATTTTAAGAAACAGCTTTCAGAGGCAAGGAGGCGGCAGAGCCTCTGTCGGCTTCTGGTTCTGAGGAAAGGAAAGAAGTACTAGAATAAAACCTTGACGTGGGAGAGACAGGTTTATATTGGTGAGAAAATGCCAGACTGGACATACCTTGTAATGGGAAAGAAAAACTCTGCTTGGTTTTGAGGCAACTAAGGCCCCTCCCACTTTGGGTGTTCCTCTCAGCCACAGTTGGAATAAGCAGTGTTTCTTTCCTTCCTCTTTTTTTCCTCTATTTCATCAAATTAGTTTGCCTATGATACATTAGTTCTTTGTTAACACTTGTAACATCCATAATCTACTTTCAGCGGGTTGGCCAGAGACAGTGATGGTCTTGGCTACTGTACCTTTTGATAGGGGCCATCCAGTGTGTGTAGAATTCTTCTCAGTTACGTGAGGCCGAGGTGTGTGATTCTGCCACCATCAGGAACAGAGCCCTGACTCTCCTTGGGGGCTGTCGGCCCATACCACGTTCCTTTTTCCGCATAGCACCATGAGCACTGTAGGAAGCAGCATGGTTGCTTGCCTACGGAAATGTGTTTGTTTTCAAGGGAGCAGGTCTCTTTATTTAGAGTTCTTTTTTGGCGAGTCATTTTTCATATGTCATCTCTTCTAGTCCCTTGGCAGGAATGTACTCTCGAGCTTCGTAGCTTGGTAAAGTTGTTGCCTTCAGATGTAAATTTGGAAATACTTCAGGAAAGAAATATGCCCAAGCCTTGCTATGACACCATTTTGGGGGTACACACCATAAAATGCTACAAAAGGAAAGATCATGCTCGAATGAGGCCATTCTGTTGTATCTAGTATCTCAAACCCTGGGACCCCGTCTGTAACGCCTGTGTAGGTCCTGCTCACCTTGCACCATCAGCATAATAATTGCCAACATTTGTGGCCTGTGTATTAGCATGTGCCAGGCACCGTGCAAGTGGTTTACTCGCATTAACTCATTTAATTCTCGAAACATCCTTCAAGGTAGATGAGGACAGTTAGCCCCTATTTACTGATGAGGAATCCGAGGATAGGTAACTTGCCCAAGGTCACACAGTTGACAAGTGGCAGAGCTGGGATTTGCACCCCAGGTCTGTCGCATTCCACAGCCCAGACTCTTAACTTTCTACTACCATACTGAACTTTCTCGAGTAATTTTAAAGTGTCCACTTGGGAATAACTATTACTTTTAAATCTTCTTTAACAACTCAGCCACTGAAACTTCAGCAAGGAAAAGAAAAGGGTGGTTTCTTCCCCTACCTCCTGCTTATATGCCATTAAGAAAGGACAGTTAGGTCAAGTGTGTAAGTGTCTGTAATAGCAAGTGGACAGATGGAGCAACTCTTCAGTTATTGCCCTGGGCTGAGGCTTGGCTGTCGCACTGTTTCCCAACTTGTGTTTTGGACTCATGAGGCTCTAACTTGAAACCTCAGTAAGAGAGTTTCAGTCATCATTTGGGGAACAGGCACATAGCATTTGTCCCACTAGCCCCATATAGATAGATGTCTCCTAGGGTTGGAGGAGACTCGGGTGCCCCTTGGGCCTCCCCTGCTGCAGGCCTTCATGCCCCGAGGACTGGCAGACAAAACAGGACCCGAGGAATGTGACGCGGTTGCTCTTCTAAGTCTCATCAACTCCTGTGATCACTTCGAGGTTGATCGAAAGAAAGTCACAGAGGTAAGAACTGTCAGATTGAAAAGCAGACAGAGTTGGTCGGGTGGGTACTGTGAAGACCAGCCAGGAGCCACACCCCGTGCTGCCAAAGCAGCCGTGTGGGCAGAGCTCACGGCTCTCCCCAGACAGTGGTGTGCGAAGGAGTTAGACTTTGGTCCACAGTTGTCATCGCTGAGCAGGCAAGCAGGGCTCACATCACATGCACCTTCTGTGATGTCCCAGAACCCCTGTGCGAATGCAGGCGGGAGGCTGACCCTTCAACCCTACCCTGTTGAACTTTTCCAACAACCTGCTGTTGCACTCTTTGCCACTAAATCGACAGGCCTCAAATTTCTCTTCCCTGTTCTGCCATAAACAGAAGCAAAGTAATCTTCCATATTAAAAAAAAAAAACCAGAGTAATGCGTCATTCTGTCCATTGGATGCCAGCATTGGAATCCTGCCCTTCTCAATCTCATTGGCTAAACAGCTGCAAGGCCAATTTACCTAGAACTGAGGAAAATACAAACACTAATGGATAAACAGTGTCAGAACAGATCGCTACGCTTGTCAGACTTCCTCTGGGAGATTTAGACTATCTCTGTTTCGCCAGAGAACAGCTCTGGCACATTTGTTACTCTAAGGATCCTTGAAAAGGGTATGTAGCTTACCTGGATTATTTATAATGTGAAGAGAAAATGCATGTATGTTTTGCCAGCATGCCAGCAGCTGAAAGGACTGAGAATCCTTTATCATCAGCAGACTCAAAAACTATCACAGTGTAAAATCGACCCCTTTGGTAGCTTTTAACCAAGAGTGTGGAAGACTTGGCATGAAATGTATATTAAAAGAGTCTTGCATTGTCTGCCTTGGCCTTTGGGTATTCTCAGAGCCAGTAGCCAATAGTTTTGCTCTTTGGCAGGTTGTTTTAAGTTAGGGCATTTGGGGGATTGTGCGAGAGACACCCACCCGGCCACGAGATTTCAAGGACTAGCGACAGTTATAGGCTTGTTTGTATTTCTTACCCCAATTAATTTATTCAAGTGGCTGGGGGTTGAACATCCCCCTCGAGCCTTGACGGCACCTGCAGACCACACACTTGTGGATTTTAGAATTAACAAGGCCTTTCAACAGTCTTTCTCTGGAACTACAAAAATCTCAGTTTACCCCACTATTGGCCTTTGAAGGCTTTTCTCTTTTTTTGTCTTTCTATAGGTGATTAAGTGTCGTAACGAGATCATGCACTCTTCAGAGATGAAAGTATCTTCTGTGTGGCTTCGAGATTTTCAGATAAAGATCCAAAATTTTCTGAATGAATTTAAGAATATCCCAGAGATTGTGGCGGTATACTCCCGAATAGAACAGGTAAAAAATCACGTTTAACAGTTCTTGCATAAAGACCTAAGGGGGAAAAAAAGGAATCACAGTCACTCATTTAGAATTTGAAGCTTATTAGATTTAAACAAAATTCTAGAATGTAAGTAGGGGAACAACATTGATATGAAGTCAGAATCGTGATTGGGCTGAGCAGCTTTTCTGTGGTCACGGGATGTTATTAGACTGGATCCAGTCAACGATGTTTAATTACAAATTCTTTGAATATCTTTTTTTTTTTGGAATATCTTTTCCATTCAATCAGTTCATATATTTGTTCGGTAACCCAACAGCTGTTGACATCTGACTGGGCTGTTTACATCCCTGAGGAGGATCAGCCAGATGGGTGTGACTATGAAACAGGAGTTTACCTGAGTGAGCACCAAGTAAACGAGATAGAAATGGAGTTACTAAAGGAAAAACTTCAAGAGCTATATCTTCAAGCAAAGGGACAAGAGGTGTTGCCTGAAGAGGTAAAAAAAAAAAAAACATTATATCCTCTGTGTGAGTAAACAAAACAAAGGCACCAGGGAGGAAGAGTAGCACATTTTAACTTATTAACGGTTATGTTTCTGCTTTAAAAGTCAAATAATTTCCAGAAATGGATATTCTTTTGGCACAGATTACTGTTACCCTTAAACAAATGTTTTCACCCCATCAGCAAACGTTTGGGTGCCTAATATATGCCACAGAGTGGAAGACCACAAGAAGGGCGGCCACAGAATCCTGAACCGCAGGCTCCCGCGACTCTGCAGTTCAGAGGGGCGATTGCAGAAAAAGGCTTTGCTGAGAAGGCGCTGTTGAGCTGGGACTAAGAATCAAATCAGAGTTCAGCAAATTGGCAAGAGCATTTGCCAAGACATGAAAGACTAGCCTGGGCCAGACAGTGACGAGGCGACGTAGGAGGGAGGTATGGTCGGTTGTGAGGGTGGTCAGGTAGGTCGAAGCCGTATTTTGAAAGGTCTTCTATGCCTCACTAAGGGGTTTGGACCTAATTCCCAAAAAGCAGTTGGGAGCCAACAGAGGTTTTAAATCAGGAGAGAGTAAATGAATAGATCAGATAGGGCTTTTAGAAAGTGACGTCTTAATGGCACTTGGAGGTTGGAGACGAGCCAGGAGGCTCTTGGCAGTTGTGTGAGGGTGAGAGAAAGAGGACAGAAGCTAGAGGTGTGGGGGAGGAGCCGGGTGCGGGAGGCACTGCTGGGGCCGAGCCGCAGTGGCTGGTTAGATTACTTGGGGCGTGGCCTGGGGCCGGCGGGAGGTGGCGAAGGAGGGGTTAAAGGATCGTCAAGGCTTCTAGCTCAGGACGCTGCAAGCTAATGATCGTCTCAAGTACAGGAGATATGAGTCCCCTTTGTTACATGCAAGATATTAAAAAAACTAACAGTAGTAGAATTATATTTTGGTAAGGTTCAGAAATAGCCCAGCACTTGCTGGATTAGAATTCCAGATTCCCAGGATGTCTTGGACAAATCATTTTACCTCTCCAATTCCACCTCGTCCGAGGAAAGTAGTTTTACTGGCTACCTCGTGAAACACAGCGTGTTTTAATACAAAGTGTGTATTTCGTTTTTTAGACCATGCTCCGTACTGGTCCATATGCCTACGCTAACTCTTCTGACCTTGACCCAGGTGCTCCACTCAGCTTGATGAACTCCTTTAGCACAGGGACTGGGTACCAGTGGTTTTGGGGTGCACCCACCCTGGCACACCATAGGTATTTAAAGTGACGAATAAGGCTGTTAAAGCTGTTTTCTAAATCCATCTGTTTCATCTGGCTTTATTTTTTTTTTTTTTTTATTTTCAAAAAGTATTTATTTGTTTGGCTGCATTGGGTCTTAGTTGCGGCATGTGGGATCTAGTTCCCTGACCAGGGAGCGAACCCAGGCCCCCTGCATTGGGAGTGCGGAGTCTTAGCCACTGGACCGCCAGGGAAGTCCCTCATCTGGCTTTACTTTAAAATGCCATTAGAACCATCCCCAGTTTTCTTTCCACTGCTCCTTTTAAAAGCAGAGTCAGACAACAGAAGAAAACCGGGGGATCAGGCTCACGGTCCCTGAGTCGTCAGAAATTCTCTCCTCTTTCTTGAGGGAGCTGCAGTTCTTTTCCTGTTTCTGTAACAAAGAGCAAAATGCATCAGTAGCAACACACTGAAACCAGGAGTCTCTGCAAGTTGGGAGCGGGAAGGGACCTGGGTAATACCCTGCTTTATAGCAACCCTAAGGGGCAGGTGCTGATGGGCTCAAGGCCTCACGGCTGGGGTATGAGGGCTGGCGCGGGGGTCTTCCCGCTCTGGCCCTGGGCCTGCCTTCCCACGTGCCGTGCAGCGGCTCTCATGTCACCGAGCAGCTAGCAATTGTAAATTTCGACCCTTCATTATCTCTGTTTTACAGAGAGGAAATTGGGGTTAATTGGCTTGTCCTCTGGGTCCCCAAGTCTCTAGATAAAGGTGATAAATTCTCGTTTTTCATGCTTTCTGTTCAGTGGACCGTGGCATTTCTCTTGATAGTTCAGTTGATCAAGTTGTAAGTTCGGACTGATTGGCACGTTATCTCTGAGAAGCTGAAGGATGGCTTTCCACGATGTGTGGAACAGACCTCTTTAGAAAGTTCAGCAGCAAATACGATTATTCATGTTCTTTTGGGTTAGTCTCCAAAGTCAGAGGATTTGGTAAACCAAATTTCAGTGACTCTAAAACACTGAATTGCAAGACTCACCATTAATTCAGTCACTTGTAAGAAAAAGAAAATGCTGCCGATTTCCTGTAAGACACTATCAATGGTAAGGCGCATTCTCATTCGAGATGTTAAAGTATTTAAAAATGTGCAATTAGGAATCAAGAAATGCAGTGGTTGTATTATGACCGCGGCACTTTTTGTGTGAATGTTTAGCAAGACCTGTTTCTGGTGTTCATTAAAACAGCAGAGCTCGGGTTGGAAAGCCAAGTTGAGAAGAAAGGGTTAATGGTGGTGATTTAGTGCGACAGTCCCCCGAAAGGAGCACGGGAGTGAGTGCCAGGGACCACGAAGCAGAGAGTTCATCATCTCCATTCTTTTCTGTCCAATTGGCGAGCCTTAATGATAACATTATAAAAGGGGGCTCCCATTAAAATACACTGTGCGTGCATAACTGTGATTGTAAGACGCGGTCCGCCTCAGAGCCAAATGGGAGCAGCAGCTGCCGCCCAAGAGCCCTTCACACACACCTGCCGGCCCTCGGCGCTCTGTTAGGATCTGGGGGGTTCAAAATTCAGCCAGAGAGCGTTGAGCGCAGTAAGTGGCTAAAAAACATGCAAAGAACTTGCACATTCTTGAAAATCATTACTGACTTCTTAAACCCTGGTGGGGGGACCGCTTTCAGGGGGAAACTCAGGGAGGAAGTGACAGAATGCAGTCGAGGCAGGCAGGGAAAGGATGGAAGTGACACTCCATTGGTTATAGGTCAGATTTATTTCATGAGTGAGTGCCTACTATTTGCCAGGCACAGTTCTAGAAGCTTGGCGTGCATCAGTGAACAAAACAGATGGTAAACGGTCATCATAATAAGCAATGATGGGGCGAGGTCGAAGGAGGAGGGTTGTGTGGAGCACAGTGTGGGGATCAGGAGTGGCCGAACGGGGCTGGGGGTTGGGTTGCGCGGGGTGGCCAGGGAGGCCCCATTGGGAAGCTGAGACTTAGCGATACCTTGGAGGAGGTGCGGAGCAGCCGTGTGCGCTTCTGGAGGAGGAGCGTTCAGGCAGAGGGCAGGGCAAGCTAAGCAGGCTGGCTGGAGTGCGGTGAGGAGCTGAGCGAAGGGAAGCCTTGTGGGCCGTTGGGAGGGTCCAGGCTCTTCCTCCTGAGGCGGCAGCCACACTGAGTTCTGAGCAGCAGAACGGTGAAGGGAGCACGCTGGCCGCCGTGTGGAGGATGCAGGGCCGGGGGCCAAAGATGGAAGCAGGGAGACATTAGGAGGCTGCCACAGGTACCAGGTCAGAGAGGTGGTGGTTCAGACCAGGGTGGAAGGGTGAAGAGTAGAGGTGGTGAGAAGGGGGGCACGTGTGGTGTGGGAGAGAAGGAAAGGCGTCAAAGACAAGTCCAAGGGTTTTGGCTTAAGTGCCTGGGAGTATGGAAGCGCTAAGCATCTTTTGCCTAGAACAGCGCCTGCCTGGCACATAGTAGACTCTCGGTACACTTTTGTTAAATGATTGTCGGAAGGGAGGAATGTACCAGACACAGTGCTAGGTGCTTTTACTAGATTATTTCTAATCCTCACGGGAATGCTTGGTGGTGTTGGTATCATCATCCTATATTTGCATATATGGAAGTAAGCTCAGAGAGGTCAAGTGTCTTGCCCAAAGTCACACAGCTAGTTAAGTGGCAAAGCTGGGCTTCAATATCCAAGTCTGTCTGACTACTTTTCTAGCACTTTGTTTTTCCATCTTTACTTCCTTCCCCATTTAACATATAAACGTGCATAAGCCTTCCCCATTCTTAATAAATTTATTTAAAAACTCCTTTTGACTCTTTCTCCTCCCCCCAAGCTAAAATAATCACCCCTGTTGAGCACATTTCAAGAGCAGAGAGGGTCAGGAGGTGACAGCACAAAGGATCATAGCTCCCAAGTCATGAAATGAGAAGATCTATGGGAAGGGAGGACCCCACTCCATCTTGGAGGGTATGTGTGATGCACAGACCAGGCCGGCATGGTCTCGGGCATCTGATGGGAACCAAGGAATGGGAAGAACCCTGGGCTGCATCTAGAGCACCCGACACAGGCAATGAGTGCTAACAGTGCAGTACCCGCAATTACTAATTACTAATGTACACTGTGAATTATGTCATTGATGTAATCTTCATTTCACGTTTTTATGGTTTCCAGATTTATTATTTAAAGCCCAGGTATCTTTCAGGAGCTGTAGGCTTGTTTCTAGCCGTGTAATAAACAGCTCCAGCTGAAGGGCACATCCCCATCTACTTAGTAACCTGTCTGAAGACCTCTGGTCATCCTCAGCTCCACCCTGGCCCTCCCTGTTCCCTGTTCATCCTGGTCACAAGCCCTAGCCAGTCTTCCCCTCCCTCCCATCCCTGGCAGCCATCGTTCTGCAACCGACCGTCTCACTCACTGCCGTCACAGTAACCTGGTGCTGCTTAGGTTCTGCCCTAGCCCTACTGCACCAGAGTCCATTGTGTACATCTCTAAAGTTTAAGAACCACCACTCTGCTAAGAGTAGGGTACTCCATCACCTTCCTTCGTTAGATGTCGATCATCTTGACTTAGCTTGGAATTGGGGGTCCCTCATTTTAAACAATTCACCACACCCCAAAATATTAATAACTCTCTTCTTTGTAATAAGCACAGCGACCAGTGAGGGTATCCTCGGATAAGCCGAGTGAAAACACTTCCGTGGTACTATTCTAAGAATACATGCTTTTATTAGTTTAAATGTCAGGAAGGATGTTACTGGTGGGAGTTTAAATTGGTATAACCTCTAGAGATGACAGTTTTGGCAAAATCTATTAACATTAAAACAGAAAACTCTATCAATTAAAACTTCATTCCACTTCTAAAAACAGATCCTACAAATAGCCTGTCACTTTATGCAAAATGACACGTGTCCCAGGTTAGTTACTGCAGCAGTATTTCTCTTAGCAGAAGGTTTGAAATAATGTTAATACATGAGACATCCATAACTGAAAAACTGTTCAGCCATTAAAAAAAATAATGAGGCCACTCTTAACAATCTGATATAGAAAAAAACCAGTTGAAGAACAATGTCTAATATGCTGCCATTTGTGTTTTTAAAAATGTGTATGTGCCAATTATGTCTCAATAAAGTGGAAATTTTAAAAAGGTGTGCACATATATACATATATGCTCACGTGTAAATGCATGGACTATCTCTGGAAGAGACACAAGAAACTTCATTGTGGTCACCTTTAAGAGGAGCTGGGTGACTGGGGACAGGATGTGGAAGAGGACCAACTTTTTACGTTGTACCCTGTGTTCATCTTGAACTTTGTACCAGGATATTTATTACTAGTAAATGTGTATGTATATTTTATAAATATTGAATAGTAATAAATGTATATATGTATACATATTTACTAGTAATAAGTGTGTACAAAATTCAAAATCAAAGAGCATTATATGTGTGTGTATATATATATGTGTATGTGTAAATGTATTTAATCATAGTAAATGGGTACAAAATTCAAAATGAAAGGGCTTTATTTTATTTTTATATATACATATATATGTATGTGTATGTATACGTATGTGTGTATATATGTGTATACACACACACACACACATATAGGTATAGACATATAGCCCTTTTGTACAAATGCAGGAAGTTTTACAGCAAAAAAAAAATCATCTTTTAAAATTTTTTTCCAGTTTTATTGAGATATAATTGACATACAGCACTGTATAAGTTTAAGGTATACAGCATAATGATTTGACGTACATATATCGTGAAATGATTACCACAATAAGTTTAGTTAACGTCTGTCATCTCGTATAGATACCAAAAAAAGGAAAAAAATGTTTTTTACCTTGTGATAAGAATGCTTAAGATTTACTCACTTAACAACTTGCAAATATACCATACAGCAGTGTTAACTATTGTCATTGTGTTGTACATTACATCCCTAGTACTTATTTATCTTGTAAACTAGAAGTTTGTACCTTTTGACCACCTTCATCCAATTCCCTATTCCCACCTCTGGTAACTGCAAATTTGATCTCTTTTTATGTCAGTTTATTTTTTTTCTTTTTGTTTCAGAGTCCACATATAAGTGAGATCATACAGTATCTATCTCTCTCTGTTTGACTTAACTTAGCATAACGCCCTCTGGGTCCATCCATGTTGTCTCGAATGGTAGAATTTTTGTCTTTTTTATGGCCAACTAATATTCCATTGTGTGTGTATATATATATATATATATATATATATATATATATATACCACATCTTCTTTACCTATTCATCTGTTGATGGACCCTCACGTTGTTTCCTTGTCTTAGCTATTGTGAATAATGCTGCTAATTAACATGGAGATGCAGATATCTCTTCAGCGTGGTGTTTTTGTTTTCTTCAGATATATTCCCGGAAGTAAAATTTCTATCACCTGGTGGTTCCTTTTTTAAGTTTTTGAGGATCCTCCATACTGTTTTCCAGAGTGGCTACACCAATTTACATTCCCACCAGCAGTGTACGAGGGTTCCCTTTTCTCCACATCCTCACCAACATTTGTTACCTCTTTTTGATGATGACCGTCCTTTTTTTTTGGCCGTGCCGCATGGCTTGTGGGGTCTTAGTTCCCCGACCAGGGATTGAACCCGGGCCCTTGGCAGTGAGAACACAGAGTCCTAACCACTGGACCGCCAGGGGATTCTCGATGATGACCATTCTAACAGGTGTGAGGTGATACCTCATTGTGGTTTTAATTTTCATTTCTCTGGTGATTAATGATGTTGAGCACCTTTTCCTGTACCTGTTGGCCATTTGTATGTCTTCTTTGGGAAAATGTCTATTCAGTTCTTTGGGAAAATGTCTATTCAGGTCCTTTGCCCATTTTTTAATTGGGTTGTCTGGTTTTTTTGCTATTGAATTGTGTGAGTTCTTTTTATATATATGTGTGTGTGTGTGTGTGTGTGTGTGTGTGTATAATTTTTTATTTTTTTTGGCTGTGTTGGGTCTTTGTTGCTGCGCACAGGCTTTCTCTAGTCGTGGCGAGTGGGGGCTACTCTTCCTCGCGGTGCGCGGGCTTCTCACTGCAGTGGCTTCTCTTGTTGCGGAGCACGGGCCCTAGAGCGCACGGGCTTTAGCAGTTGTGGCTCGAGGGCTCTAGAGCGCAGGCTCATTAGTTGTGGACCACGGGCCCAGTTGCCCCGCGGCATGTGGGATCTTCCCGGACCAGGGATCAAACCTGTGTCCCTTGCACTGGCAGGCGGATTCTTAACCACTGCGCCACCAGGGAAGTCCCTCTTTATATATTTTGGATATTAACCCCTAAAAGCAAAAAATGTTAAGGAGACAAGCAAACACGCCCTTGTGTGGCCCCAGTACCAGCTATTGGTAGACACATGAACAGGAGCCAGTCTTGGAGCTAGTAAGTTTTTCACCTGAATTTTAAGTCTGCTATAAAATTATCTAAGCTGTACATTGTATGGTTTCTTCTTACAGATCTTAAATCAACTGGAAGTGGTGAAAGAATTTCTGAGAAACAACGAGGATCTTAGAAATGGTCTTACAGAAGATATGCAGAAGCTAGACAGCCTCCACCAACAGCCTCAAAAACTGGATTCGAAGGAACCTAGGGCACAGACACCTGAAGGGAAGGCCTGAAGTGAGTTTAAGCATATGATGGTAAATAAGGACAGAATAGCCTCATCTCTTTAATGTCTGTTCTTTTAGGTAAGGCCATAACACACATAGTCTCATCTGAAGTTTCCCTATGTCCTTATTATTTGAAAGAAAGGACACTGAGCTTTGTGCTCTTTCTGATTGATGGTTCTCACATCTGTGAACTAGTTCAGGATAAACTCCCTGTCAGCTTTGTTCAGTCAAGTATACCTGAAGTCACTGGCCTAGTCTTAAATGAATCAACTTTATGACATAATCAAGAAGCATTTCAGCCCTAAAGTGATGCCAGTGATGCCTCACTCTTAGCCGTGGCATGAATAATAGCAATTTGTTTATATTCATAAGAAAAACTTGTTGGGACTTCCCTGGTGGTCCAGCGGTTAAGACTCCGCGCTCCCAATGCAGGGTCCCGGGTTCGATCCCTGGTCAGGGAACTAGGTCCCTCATGCCACAACTAAGACCCAGTGCAGCCAAATTAATTAATTAATTAATTTAAAAAATACTTGTTAAAATAAGTAACTATCTTCAGTATTTTACTTTTTTTCCTCAAATGAAGAAAATTAAATATTTTCTTTTATTTTAGGTTGACCTTCAACAAAAATCAGGCATGTTCTGTGAAAGTCAGCCGGGTTTCCATCTCAGCCGTCCTTTTCTGTGCAAAAGGGAAAACTTACCCAAGTACTCCACTCAAACAAAAAGGAATTTGTGTCATCTTTTCCTGGACTTTCCTTTAACTCTTTGGGAGTTTTTTTTTTTTTTTTTTTTTTACATTCCTAATCTTGGTGTTATGTGATCTGTACCAGCCAAAAAATATTAGATACTCTTGTGCCAAACTTGCTGTCATCTGGGCTTTTTTGTTTGTTTTTTGGGTTTTGTTTTTGGTTTGGTTTTGCTGTTTAAAAGGTGAGATTCTTTTCTGGTCCTAAAACTCTAACTGCTTAAACACTAAAGGCTGTGTTCGGCCAGGCCTGTGTGAAGGGCCACGCAGAGTTCTCTGCCCACTGGCATGCAAGTCCTATGCCCACACCCTTGCCTGAAAGTCTCATTCATGAGGATGCCCAAGGGTGGGCTGTGATGTACATGTTGAGATATAAATCCTTTTCGCCAGCAGGCAAGGAAAAAAATGTGCCCGAAAGGCCATTTTCTAGCCATTTCCAGTTAGTACAGAACTGTTACTACCTGTTTCTGGTAGCTTGAGGCAGTAGGACAAAGAGGTGGGCTGGAGAACACAGTAACTTGACTGACCAAAGCAGGGGGAGGGCCCAGGCCAGTATCACAAGCAGGGATGTCCGGGAAAGTTTTGAGGTTGCTGGCTTGTTTATGGCACTCTTAAGAAAAGTCAGCCTTGGTGGCAGTCACAGCTCTTCCGGTTCAGTTATAACCTGAGTGCCGAGCACAAGGCCTGGCCCTTGCGTGCTCAATGAATATTCATTAACTGAAGGGTCAACTGATAGCTTAGAGGTATTCATAGACGCAGATGTTAGTTACACTGTTAACTAAGCCTTGTCCTTTGTTATGAGATTGAGGAATGAAACTTTAATATTCTTATGGAAGTTCAAAGACATCATTTTCTTTCAGCAAATTCACAAATTCATTCATACTTCCTTATTCCTTTTACCCAAAAAGTCATACACTTTTGACTTTGTCCTGTTTGTTTCCCAAACTGCAAAACCCCTGTCCCATTGTATGCAGTGATCTGTGGGATCAGCTCTACCCTCACCTTCCCCCAACTCTGCTCATTTCCAAAGCCAGCAGTACTGAACTGGGCCTTGTCGCCCCTGGACCTTGAGGGACAGAATTGCCACATTCCCCACTGCCTGGAGGAAGTGCTTCCGTTTCGAGCCCAGGTGAAGCCCTGCTCCTTTGCTTACTCAGCTGCCCAACAAGGATGTGATTTTTAGAGAATGGGGGTGGGGGGATGCATTTTTACCGTGAAATGCATTTAATGTAGTTCTGTAAAACCTGGATGAATGCACATATGCCTGTGACTTCCTGCTTTCATCTTTCCTGCTACTATTTGGTCTTTAATCTTACATTTTCTTTCTCCCTTCATTTCATGGAGTTCCTTTAGAAGACTTCAATAGTAAAGTAACAATTTTCTTTCATCTTGCAGCTTCCCACAAACTAAGATACTCCATGAAATATTTCCTAGTTTCTACATGTAAGATAACAAAACTTGGGATCACATTAAATCTTGATTCACTAACCAATTTAAGATCTGATTTCTCACCTTAGGAACTTAGGATTATGAACACTTTCATTTCATACCTCTTGTATCTATTTAGCTTTTCCTTATCTACCCAAGAAACGTTTTATCAAGTATCAACCACATGCCAGGCACTGAAGTTGATGCAAATGGAGGATATGTAAGGTATGGACAATGATATGTGAGCTGTCATCTTACTGGATTTATTGTCTGCTCTGATGAATTAAAGATACTGTTCAGGGAATTCCCTGGCGGTCCAGTGATTAGGACTCAGCACTGTCACTCAACTGCCGGGGCCCGGGTTCGATCCCTGGTCGGGGAACTAAGATCCCAGAAGGTGGGAGGTGCGGCCAAAAAAAAAAAAAAAGATATTGTTCAGAAAACATTATTCTGGCAACATTTAATTACATTAAAATTGAAACGAAGATAGGAAGACATGCCTGGAGGGGGCTTTAAAGCAAACATAGCTTTAAAGCAAACACAGTTTTAAGACTTCCATGGTGGCGCAGTGGTTAAGAATCTGCCTGCCAATGCAGGGGAGATGGGTTCGAGCCCTGGTCCAGGAAGATCCCACATGCCGCAGAGCAACTAAGCACATGTGCCACAACTGCTGAGCCTGTGCTCTAGAGCCCGCAAGCCACAACTAGTGAGCCCGCATGCCACAACTACTGAAGCCGGAGCACCTAGAGCCCGTGCTCCACAAAAGAAGCCACTGCAATGAGAAGCCTGCACACCACAACAAAGAGTAGCCCCTGGCCGCCGCAACTAGAGAAAAGCCTGCGCGCAGCAACGAAGACCCAATGCAGCCAAAAATGTAATAAATTTATTTTTTTAAAAAAACTATAATTAAAAAAATAGCAAACATAGCTTTAAAGGTTGATCCAGGGACATCAGCCCTGTGGGACTCTCTTCTACAGATCTGTGCACGTGGGCACAGGGCATGGACAAAAGGGAGAGGGGACTGGTTAATCACAGCACATCCATGCTACCGAGTATTATGCAACTGTTAAAAAGAAGGCTGCAATGCCATGATAGGGGATGACGTGTAAGACATTATAGATAGAAAAGCAGAATGTGTAACAATGCATAGCATGCTATAAAACTATGGTATTTTCAAAAAACTATGGTATTTTCAAATAACAGAGGTCTGAAAAGTTGTGTACTTTTCCCAAGCTTTTTTGCCATGTTACCACTGCCAAAGGAATTGGGGTCGAATTTGGCTTTTCTATTTTTTGCACACTCGCGTATGAAATTTTTACAACAAAGCTGCACTCCTGTAGTTTGAAAACTTTCCATTCAAATTTTGCATTTCAAAATAATAGACATAAATTCAAACTGCAAGACTTATATGTCACGTTTCCTGGAATATATTATAGCCTCCATTTTTGCGGGGGTCAGCTCCACCTCCAGGGGCACTCGTGAGTCATCAGGGTCAGGAGAGGCCCAGGAAGTGGTTTCCTTCCCGCACAGGGCTTCATCATCTCTAAGTGCCTTGTCTTTGTCCAGCAATGTGATTTGTTCCCAGCCTCTCCCTGAGACACAGTATGAGGTTCATAGTTTTGAAAGAATTAGAGGAGAAAAATGGTTGTAGCATTAGAGTTGCAAAGATAAGGCAGTTCGTTGGATTTTAGTCTGGGCTTTGCCAGGAAGGTCAGAGGACCTAAAGAGGAAGATGTTACTTATTAAACTCAGTATAAAACCCAAATTCTGGGAAGTAACAAAAGTGTGTCAATAACAAAAGCTTCTGAAAAAATAACTCTGCCTATTTGGAAAATGTTTTTGGCTTCATAAAGTAGTGGTAGAGACCTGTAGACAGTTTTAAATTGCCAAGACCAGAAAGAATTATGTTTGAGAGTTTGGGGAGATTATGAAATGATTATTACCCTAATGATTTGAAGGGTGTGTTTTTATTAAAGTATTAATCACTTACATGGCTTTAAACACTAATATCCTAGGCAACAAAGGGTTAGAGCTCTTAGCTGAGTGGGCATGCTGCAAATTAGGTCCTGTAAGTGGAGCATTGCATTAGAATGGAGGTGTCGCAATCTTTTGGATATTTGCTCTAATCGTTTTGCCCTCTAAAAATGTAGAGTGACAGGAAATTATCAGCAGGGATTACCTATTTTCCCCTTACCAGGTTAATTAGAAACATACCTGCTCTGATATGTCTTCAACAGACAGTGGCCTTTTACTGAAATACAATAGTCAAATTACAAAATACATTTTGTAAAACAAATCTAAAAATGCATTAATTTCCACTCATGTAAGAGCAAAGGGGGAAAATCTTTAAAATTTTAATAAAAATCTCGATACAAGGTTATGATTCATTTCAGAACTTCCAGAACTGCTTTTTATTTTATGATAGTCTGAACTATCTAAAATATTATGAGCTACCACCTATCTTCCAGAAACTTCTTTCCTGCTTCTCAAACCCATCCTCTGTCATATATGCATGTTTGTAATGACCACAAAACTGTAAACTGAGCATTTTGTGACATCTCTTGGGGAAGGTGGGCAATGACCTTACATGATTTATTACTTTCTACTGAGTTTCAGGAAGGCAGGAGAGTTTTTATTTCAGAGCTGTGGTAGCCAGTCTCCAAGATGGCCCCCAATGATCCCTGCCTCCTGCTATTCCCACCCTTGTGTTGTCCTCCCACAGCGTACCAAGGTTGCTCCATGTGACCAAGAGAACACAGCTGAAGTGATGGTATGTCACTTCCCAGATTAAGCTATAAAAGACTATGGCTTCCATCTTGGGCTTTCTCTCTTTTGGAGCACCTCTGGGGGAAGCCATGTTGTGAGCAGCCCTATGGCCCACATGACAAGGAACTGAAGCCTCCTGCAAACAACAGTGTGAGTGAGCTTGGAAGTGGTTCCTCCAGCAAGTCTTCAGAGACTGCAGCCCCAGCAGACAGCTGAGACCCTAAGGCAGAAGCACCCAACTAGGCCCCTCCCAGATTCCTGGCCCTACAAAATTGTGCGAGATATTTAAGTTTTTTTAAGCTAAGTTTGGGGGTGATTTGTTACACAGCAATAGATAACTCATACACTGTCACTTTCCAGAGTTTGTTTTTCCCCCTGTATGCAGAATGTGAAATGCAGAAACTGCCTACAAAGAGGACTACTGCTTAGATGCCACAGAAGGTAAAGTGCCTGTCTTGTCCAAAACCTGATGTCTTCAGAAAATTTCAGAGTTGTTTTCAATATCTTTGCATTTGAAATCTTTAACAAAAGTAGGGGTTTTGATCACATACATGGGGGTTCCCCAGTAGACCACCCTGGAACTTCCCGCATTCTCCAGAGGGAGGGGGGATTGGGGGTCAAATCCTGAAGGGCAGCCTCTGCTGCAGAGGTAATGGCCTTACACCCAAAGCCCCACCCTTCTCTTTTCCCTCCTCATGCTCCCAAGCAGAGTCCTTTAGCACCCACAGGATTCCTAGGGGGGATACCCTGGGCTAATACTGTTTACCACTGACCCTCACCCTCACCCCTAGCTACAGTGCAACACAGGGTGATAGGTTCACCACCTTTACAAACTGTCAGTTCCCCCATTTTTAGGCATGAGGAAAAGAGGAAAGGATAATCTTGTTTTTATTTTCTGTTTACCTAGAATTTAGGGTTGACAGCCACTGACCTGAGTTGTTTATTTATCCTGATTCCATTGAAGGTTCTGTCATTGCTCCCGGTCACCAACAGATTCTAGGTTCTCTTGCTAAGTACTCCTTAAAAGTCTGAGCTGGATTTCACTGAATTCATTTAAACCCCCTTGGAAGTATTTCCCTCAGTAGAAGTAGCCCTTGGAATTTTTTGGCGTACAAACATTGTGGCTTATCTGGCCCGGACACCCGAAACAAGTAACAAAAGCATGTTCCCAGGAGAGCTTAAAAAAAAATAAATTAGCTAAGTTGAAGTGTCTTTCGTTCAGCCTTCCTCCCCTACATAAACTAACCCTCGAGTTGCAGGTCCCGTGGAGAGGAAGACTAGCCAATCTACCCTCACCGTCTAAAAACCATTTTATTTCCCTGTCACGAAATAAACAACACTCAACAGCTTCAGTTCTGTGCTATTTGCCATTTTTTATTAACAGAACTGCAGGTTTCAATCAGATTCGCACTGTTTCAGAGTCAAAACCAAACTTTTTATTGATCTTTTCTTTAGGAAGAACAGTTCAGTGCTTGCAAGCTGCGAAGATTTGATAGGGCCCTCTCAATCATGTTCTGGGGTCAGCGGATCGTAGTCGGTGACCTCCAGGCAGTCGCCGTCAGTCACAGGGTCTTCAGCTGCGGGGGGGGGGTAGTGGGGGTAGCGGTGGTAGAGCCGGGAGAGGCGACAGAGGCAGCAACGGCTGTGGCCGCCGTGGCGCCGCCGTAGTGGTAGATCAGATAGCGGCCCCCCTTCACACTGCGCCACCACGTTGGTGCTGTGACACGCTATCAGCAGCAAGCTGCGAGGCCGTACGAGGTAGGCGAAGCGCATGAAGACCATCGAGTATAAGATGAACGCCGTCGTCACGCGGCCGCTGATGATGTCCGGCGGCGCCCACATGTCCTTGACGGCAGCCAGCGGGATGCCCCAGTTGGCCACTGGACCCCAGAAGTGCGTGCTGGTCACGTAATCCCGGAACTCCTTGGTCTTCACGATCTCCACCGCCCTCCGCCACAGTGCCGCCACCGCCGCCATGATCGCCGAGCCGTGGGAGCGCCAACGGATGAACAGCCTACCGACAACGAGGTGGAGCGCAGAGCCCGGAACCGTTGATTACCTTGCGTCGGCCCGGAACCTCCGCCTTCGTGCGGCGGCCGTAAAGCGCGCTAGACAGCACGTGCCGCTGTCCTGCGTAGCTTTGGGGGCGGAGGCGCGGCCTCGGCCTCGTGCCTTCACGTTTCTGCCGTAAAGTGCACTAGATGGCACGTACAGCTGTCGTGCCTGTCTTTGGGAACGTGAGGCGCAGCCTCGCCCTCGTGCTTTCGCGTGACTGCCGTAAAGTGTGTATGCGTGTGCTTCTAAGTGAAGGTGGGATCACAGCCTCGTCTTTCGCTCCTCGTCGTGCTGCGGCCGCCTGAAAGCTCCTCGCCCAGGGAGGCGAGGTTCCTGCTGACTGCTTCTCAGCTACACAGGGGGAAACTGTTCTCTCCAGTCTGTGGACAGCGTTGACTAGATGTTGATACAAAATTCTTCAGCCAGGTACAGAATTTTCTTTGCACAATTTGCCCGAGTATTACTTGAGAAGTGACATTTCACCTCTAAATATTTCAGCATCTGGCTCTTCACAAGGACATTCTCCTACAAACCACAGTACAATAATCCACTCAGATACTTAACATTTAGTACAGTACTATCATCTAATATGCAGTGCATATTTAAGTGTTATAGTTTTATGGGGTTTTTTTTCTTTATTGTTGGAAGGGGGAGGTCCAGGATCCACTCAAGATTCACATTTAGGGCTTCCCTGGTGGCGCAGTGTTTGAGAGTCCGCCTGCCGATGCAGGGGACACGGGTTCGTGCCCCGGTCCGGGAAGATCCCACATGCCGCGGAGCGGCTGGGCCCGTGAGCCATGGCCGCTGAGCCTGCGCGTCCGGAGCCTGTGCTCCGCAACGGGAGAGGCCACAACAGTGAGAGGCCCCCGTACCGCAAAAAAAAAAAAAAAAAAAAAGATTCACATTTAGTCATCATTTCTTTTACATTAATCTAGAAGAGTTCCCCAGCGTTTTTTTGTCTTTTGTAACATTGATATTTTTGAAAAGTACAAGTCAGTGTTTTTTTCAGAATGTCCTTAATTTGGATTAGTCTGTTTTCTCTTAAAGTTAAATGTTTTCTGGCAAGAATACTACACACGTGTGGTTGTGTCCTTAGTGCATCACAGTGGGAGGCACGTGATATCACTTTGTTCTATTATTGGCGATAGTGAGTTTGATCATTCAGTTGAGCTGTCTGCCAGATTTCTCCATTGTAAAGGACCTTTTCCTCTATGTAATCAACAGATAATCCAAGGGGAGCCTCTTATGAGAGTGTATGGATAAGTCTTTCACCTAATAGTTAATATCCATTGATGAAAATTCTTAATGACAAAACTGATGACTCTTTTCCCAGTGTTTTCTACCTTTTCCAGTAAAAGTAATGCGTTGAAAAGTAATTAAGTATACATTGAAATATTAATACTTTAAGTAGTGATTTATAAACAAGCCCATTATACTTTTAAAAATTAATACATTCATTATCTATGTTCATTTACATCTCAGATGTTTTACAAATACAGCTTTAAAATGTACGGTATAGCCATTGTTCAAAAGGAAAGCAGCATCATTTTCATATAACCCTTTTAAAGCACTGGGCTTCCAAATATCGATGACCGGTATACTGGTGTGAGTCAGTTAAGTATACATTTGAATTAATAAATCAGCAAGCATGAATTAAGTGACATTTTAGGCCTACCCTGCCAGATGCTCCAGTGTCCTAAAAGAAATGTCCACAAGAAGCTATCAGTACTTGTAGATCGTCTCACATAGCTTGTTACTTGATTTTGATTACCTATTGCTGTGTAACAAATCACCCTAAAACATAGTGGCTTAGAACAACAACAATCCTTTATTTTACTTAAGAGATTTGCAATTTGGGTGGGACTCAATGGAGACAACTTATCTGCTCCTATCATGGCCAGCTGGGGCAGCTCAGCTTGACACTGGAAGATCCACTTTCAAAATGATTCACTAACAAGGCTGGCAAGTTGATACTGGTTGTTGACTGGGAACTCAGCTGGGACTATTAAAGCTGCTTGTGCTTCCTCACAGCATGGTGCCTAAGAACAGGTGTAACAAGAGAATCAAACAGAAGCTATGTGGTAGGCAGAATTCTAAAATGACCCCTGCATAATGACCCTGCATAATCTCCTCCAGGTGTGGGCAGAACCTATGAATGTGATTAGATATCACTCCCATGATTATATGACAGAAGGGAATTTGCAGATATAATTAAGGTCCCAAAGCAGCTGACCTTAACATAGGGAGATTCTCTAAGTGGACATGACCTAATCACATGAGGTGTTTTGTGTTTTGTTTTTGGCTTAAGACAACAGAAGTTTATTTTCTCACAGTTCTAGAGACTAAAAGTCCAAAATTCAGCAGGGTCACGCTCCCTTTTGGGGCTGCCTCTTCCATCTTCTGGTGACTACAAGCATTCCTTGGCTTGTGGCCACAGTACTCCAGTCTTGGCCTCCATGGTAACATTGCCTCCTCCTCTTCTGTGTGTCTTCTCTCTGTCACATGAGCCATTTGAGTGTGGGTCTGGAGGTCAGAGACGGAGAAAGTCAGAGATTGAAAGTGTGAGAGGGATTTGACCTGAGGGAGATTCTCTATAGCTGGCTTTGAGCGTGAAGGGGGCCACGTGGCAAGGAATTTCGGCAGCCTCTAGGAGCTGAGGGCAGCCCCAGCTGAGTGCCAGCAAGGAGAGGCAGACCTCAGTCCTACAGCCACAAAGAACTGAATTCTTCCAACAGCATGCATGCCTTTTGAGACCCTGAGCAGAGAACCTAGCCATGCTGTGCCCGGAATTCTGACCTACAGACTGTGAGCTAATACGTGGGTGTTCTTTCAAGCCACTCAGTTTGTGATAATCTGTTGTGCAGCAATAGAAAACTAAGCTGTATTTATTGGCTTTTATGATCTAGCCTCGGAAGTCCCATAACATAACTTTCTCCAGACAGAAGCCCACCCAAACTCAACGAGAGCGGACATAGACCCACCTCTGTAAGGCAGGAATGTTCAAAGTCATACTTTTTAAGAAGAGCATGTGGGATGGGAAATATTGTTGGACCACCTTTGGAAACTACAGTCTACTATATTCTTTAACTTGAAATCACATGACTATAGAACATTGGATCTCATGGATTGTCCGTACAATAGGGATGATAGTGGTACCTACCTCACAGCAGTATGGTGAGGTTTCAGTGTGTTCGTCCATGTTCAGTGCTTAATATAGGGCCTGGTGTATAAGAAGTGCTCAGTGAATTTTACCTGTTATTATTATCGTCCAGTCCAACCCTCTCAGTTTACAAATAAGGCAGGAAGCTTTAAGGAATTGTGTCATTTGCCACGGTGACTCGGTGAATTCATGGTAGACCAGGATTAAGATTTCCTTCTCTCACTGTAATCCTCTGCACAAATCACTTTAACGTCTGATGTGTTTCTGTCTTTCCAACTATGTTGTAAGTTCCCTTAGGCCAGCGAAAGTATCACCGAATGAAATATTCCTTCTCCCCACAAGCCTTTCTAATGTGTTGACTGGATTTGGCCCAAATTGAACAAGACAAGATCTGCCTGTTCAGAGGGGCATTTTAAAGCTAGAGAAACGGAGGTACAGACAACGGTACAGGCAACGTTTAAGTGACTTTCCTGGTAGATTCCCGGCTGGTAGATGCCTGGCTAAATATAGTCTTTGTGTAAGGTTTGTGCCTGGTAGATATTTGTTGGTTGTTACAGTTGCAATGAATGGCCCAAATGGAGGGTAAGACACTGTAATGGAACTTGGGGAGACTTGAGAAGGATACAAGGCTAGGAATGGGCAAAGCTGTAGAGAATCCTACCTGGCAAAGATAGTGACGAAACAGTTTTAGGATTAGAGAACATCAGTAATGCTGTCCTGGGATTACCCTTCCCCACAGGGAAATTAGGCTGCTGTATATTTCACTGTATTTTAATAGATGAGACTAAGCAGTTAAAGGTTTATTATTATTATTGATAGTATTTCTTTACCATTATTAGCATTTCTACTCTCTGTGCCAACATAAAGCTCTCAGGGCCCGCTGTGTGGCTCCACCTTGAGACACGTGAACATGGAGGGCAAGTTCACTGGCATCTTTCAAAGGAAAGCGCTGGGAGAAGACTGGCAAATACTAAGATTCCCAGCTTTCCCCAGTCTCCTGAAAACTTGCCCTCGCGTACTTTCTTCTAACGAAGATTCCAGGTTTACAGGTCTCATGACATTTTGCTGGACGTTAAGGATCCGGGCCCACGTGACCGCTCAGTGAGTTCCAGGGCACTGGACCATGGAGAGCACACCTTTTGATTTTAATTTATTTTCTTTTTAACTTCTTATTCTGAAATAATTTCACATTCACAGAATAGTTTAAATAGTTTAAAACAAGAATGACAAAGCAAGAAGTGTGAAAAGAACTCATGTATATCCTTGGCCGAGATTTACCAACTGTTAACATTCTGACACATTCGCTGTATGGTTTTCTTTGCTCCTAAGAACTTCAGAACTTCAGTGTCTTTTTCCTAAGCATGCAGACGCTCGTGGACTTTCTCTTACGTTACCGCAATATACCCATCAACAGCAAGGCATTTACCATTGATACAGTACTGTAATCTACAATCCTTATTCACATTTTGCCAATTGTCCCAATAAATGTCCTGTGTCACAGTTTTCTGTTTCCAGTCCAGGATGCAGACTGGGGTCACGCATTGCGTTTAATTGTGATGTCCCTGTAGTCTCCTCTAATCTACAACAGTTCCTCCGCCTTTCCTCAGCATTCATGACCTTGACACTTTAGAAGCGTACAGGCCAGTGGTTTGATAGAATGTCCCTCAGTTTGGGTTCCCTTGATGTTTTCTCACGACCACGTGCAGGGAGTTCATGTTTGGCAGGAGCCCCGCAGAAGTGACATCCTGTGCCCGGCGCGGCACCTTACCAGGCACATGATGGCCATTAGTGAGACGAAGGTGGCCTTCTGGTGACTAGTGAGAGCAAGGTAATGTTCACTAGGTCTCTCCACTGTAAAGTCAGTATTTTCCCCTTTGTAATTCATAAGTAATTTGTGGGGAGATACTTTGAGACTATGTAAATATCCATTTCCTCATCAAATATTTTAGCATCCATTGATGATTCTTGCCTGAATCAAGAATTACCGTAATGGGAGTTCCCTGGTGGGCCAGTGGTTAGGACTCGGCGCTTTCACTGCCGTGGCCTGGGTTCAGTTCCTGGTTGGGGAACTAAGATCCCACAAGCCTTGCAGTGCGGCCCAAGGGGTGGGGGGAAAGGATTACTGTAATGATGACAGCATTTAATTAATTTATTTATTTTTGGCTGCATTGGGTCTTTGTTGCTGCACGCGGGCTTTTCTCTAGTTGCGGCGAGCAGGGGCTACTCTTCGTTGTGGTGCGCGGGCTTCTCACTGCGGTGGCTTCTCTTGTTAAGGAGCACGGGCTCTAGGTGCACAGGCTTCAGTAGTTGTGGCTCGCAGGCTCAGTAGTTGTGGCTTGCGGGCTCTAGAGCACAGGCTCAGTAGTTGTGGCGCACAGGATTTGCTCCGCGGCACGTAGGATCTTCTCGGACCAGGGCTGGAACCCATGTCCCCTGCATTAGCAGGGGGATTCTTAACCACTGCGCCACCAGGGAAGTCCTAGCAGTTTATTTTTTAAATAATTTTCTGTCTTGTGGTTTAAAACAAAAGTCAGAGATTGTATTTCATTAG